ACAAAAAAAAAAAAAAACAGCTAGATTAGACTAAGCCTACCCCAAACAATTACAAACATAGAGCCAAACAAAGGGAAACTATTGGACTAAGACCCGTCCCAAACATAACCCCTAAACATGCAAAATTACAAAAATGCCCTTGCCGTCCAGAAATGTAAGAAAGTCAAATAAGGCCTATGACCTATCCAGCAGCAAATTCAACCACACAAAGAGCATCTTAAAGTGGATTGAAGACTCTAGGGTATTCCCAAGTTAATCCACTGCTAACCCAGTTCCCATGTGGGCCCCATGTCATCATAATGATGCCAAATAAACATAGGGGCAGCTTTGGTTCTCTTTTGATATGCCTTAAGTTGATCTCCGTCAGCTTCTTCATAATAGAAAACCATTGCGGTACCAGATTCTTGATAGTAAAAAACAATGAGAGATATTTCAGAGATAATTAAGGCATAAAATTTTATTAAAGCAAAGCTGTCACTTGTCAGTATCTTGTTTTCTGAGATGATACTAGATCAACCTCTAAGTATTTATTTTTGTATTCTATTCCTCATGGTGACTGTTTATTGTGCAGATACATCGGATTAAGGCCATCATTTGTAACTTGCGCGAGCGTGCCAAAGAAATCAATAAAAGATTGGTGTTAATTCCTCAGGTGGAAGAAATCCAACTGCAACCATTTGAAGAGGAAGGATCCATTTGGTTCGATGAGTCTATTTTCTCAGAAGTACTTTGTATGGTCCCAATAGCTGTTGCTCGCTGTCCTGATCTTTTATATCCAGGTTTTATTTTAAGTTGTTTGCAGGATTTGGTCATCTTCAGTTCTGGTGCAAAAAATGGTATCTGAGCATAATTTGGGCAATTAATGATTAAATATTCTTATATGCAGAAATTTTAGTGCTTGCTGTGATTACCACAAAAAATGCTGGATCCCTTTTAAGAGCATGTTTAATGTGCATTCCATTGTTGAGGAAACAATGCATAGAGCTTCTTGCAGATTTTATATGCAAATATAAACAGATAAGTCATATCAGAAAGTCTGATCAGAAGCCACTTGATTCACTTCTTTTCTACTGTCTTCAGCAGTCCTACAATGTTATAGATTGCTTGTCCAAATCAGAGTCCCAGTTTGCTTTTCTTCTACGACAAGCTCTCCTTCAGAGATGTATATGTGCAAGTGTGATCATTCAAATCACTGTTGATGTCCTAAAAGATGGAGTTGATTTCTTCACAAGGGTTCTGTTCTGTGATGAGGAGATACGCCATTGGATGGTATCATGTATAAAATCTATAAAAAGAACAACAGAGATAGGGTTTTCATCTCTCGAGGTTCTGAAGCAGCGAATGTTGACAGAACGGTTAACATCTGTTCACTGGGATGATGAACTACAACTTAAGGAAGAGACTGTGCTACAGCTGTTTAAAGCTATACAGGCAGGTGCTGAAGCTGCATTTCATGATGACAGATGGAATTATAAGTTGTATTGCCACCTGAAACTATACTGCGTCCTTGTACATTTATGTGCTCTGCAGCCATGTTATGAGGAGGTAGTTTCTATTTACCGGACCTTCTCTTTGCTTCTTGTCATTCTTTTGATGGGTGGCCATTATTTTAAGCACATTGGTACAACAAGTTATATCATAGGGACTATCTAGCTATGGCATTAAGCTACTAATCTTATTTCTTACATGTAAGTAGAATAGATGTGGTACACCTTCTGCTGGTCATTGTAGGAATACATCAAAATTGACATGCTCAGACCTGTCACATTCTTTTGGATGTTAAATAGGATATTGATGATGATAGTTCAGGAAAAGGAAAAACCATAGAGTGGAGTCTTGTATAGATGGTAGATTTATATTCATCCTTTTTGATTTGTTCTAGTTTTTATGTTGATCTAATTAGCTTGTTGAGTGTCAAATCCCCTAATTTCAACCAACGTGTTCAATATGTGACAGGTTTAATATGCTAGTTTGCACCAACCAGATGACTGATTTACAACCTTGCATGTGCACATGTGCCTATATATTGTTTGTAAACTACCTTTAGTCTAGGAGATATGTAATAATGGTTCAAACCTAGAAAAAAGACTATAACACCCTTAATAGGTCGTTAACACTCCCCCTCAAGCTGGAGAGTATATATCATATAATCCCAACTTGTTGCATCTGTATTCTACTCTTCCTTGACTCAAGCCTTTAGTAAACTTATCTGTCCACTGACTTTCTGAGCTCACATGTGCAGTACCAATTACTTCATCAAGAACATTTCCCCTCACAAAGTGACAATCAACCTCTATGTGCTTGGTCTTTTCATGAAACACCGGCTTAGAAGAAATATGGCCAGCTGCTTGGTTGTCACAATACAATTTCATGTGGATGTTCAATGAGAACCCAGTCTCTTAAAGTAGATTCTTCAACCACACTAGTTCAAAGATAGTGTGTGCCATGGCCCTATACTTAGCTTCAAAACTACTTATTGCTGCAATTGTTTGTTTCTTACTTTTCTAGGATACTAAATTTCAGTGGTGGAGCTTCTGTCAAACATAGTACCAGCCCAATCTACATCGATGTTGTCGTCTATCTTAAGCTTTCCACAAAGCCTATATAATAGTCCATGACTTGGGGTTCCCTTTAAGTACCATACAATTCTAAAAACTGCATTATAATGAGAAATCTGAGGACTCTGCATAAATTGGCTAACCATACTCATTGCATAAGAGATATTTGGTTGGGTGATGGTCAAGTAATTTAGCTTACCCAAGGTTCAAAATTTTGGCTTAACGATACACCCTACAGGGGTTGTATTGGGGTGTGACCTAGTTCAGGGGGTAGACCAGCCTTAGACCGACCCCTTTGAACCAGTTTCAAAGAAAAAAAGGGTGGGCAAGCTTTGTTATAGGCCGATACGCCCCTACTGGCATAACCACCTATATCGAAATTTTAAACCTTGAGCTTACCCACCAACCTTCTATGTTTTTTAGGATCATCAAAGTGCTCCCTTATGTCAGTACTAAACTTCATAGTAGGTTCCATAGGTGTCTCAGTCAATTTAGCACCTAAATCCTGTCACCTCTAATAGATTAAGAACATACTTCCTTTAACATATATTGATACCATGCCTTAACTTTGCAACTTCTTCCCAAAAAGTTCTTTAGTTTGCCAAGATCTTTTGTTTAAAAATGATTGTAGGAACCCCTTTAACTTTAATCTTGCAATGCCTTGGGTATCACTACTAGTGATTAAAATATCATCTACATATACCATTAATAAAATCTTCCCTGTTGCAGAGTTATAACTAAATACAAAGTGGTCCACTAGATACTACATTCCAAACTCTTTCACCACTTCACTAAATCTACTAAACCAAGCACGTGGGGATTGTTTCAGCTAGGGGTGAGCAATAATTGGTTCGGTATTGTTAAAAAAAACAAAGGCACTAGTTTGGTCTTGGTTTACCAATATAGAAAACCGATGGTTAACCGAACTGACCAGTGTACATATATTTCTATATATTTTATGTATGTATATTATATATTTTTATATATTATAAAATAATAAATATGCACTGTATATAAATATATATTTATAATATATAATATTATTTATTATTTAAAATATAATATTTTATATACTTCTAGTTTTTTATTATATGTATTTTTATAATATATACTATAAATATAAAAAAACCAAAAAACTAACGAACCGAACCGATGGTTAACCGAATTGGTCAATTGGTTAACCGATTGGCTTTGGTTCGGTTTCGGTTACTGGTTTTCTAGAAACTGGTAACCCCAATTCAGTCATTGTTCGGTTAACCAAACCGTGAGCACCCCTAGTTTCAGCCCATAAATCACCTTCTTTAAGCTACATACCTTACCGTCCTCCCTCTAAGGAACAAACCCAAGTAGTTTCTCCATATAAACTTCCTCAAGTAGATCACCATATAAGAAAGACATTCTTGATGTTAAGATGAAACAATGGCTAGTTATACATAGCTGCTATAGAGATTAACACACAAATTGGACCAATCTTTGCAATGGGAAAAATTTTCCATATAATCGACACCATACAACTATGAGTATCCCTTTAGCAACTAACTTGACTTTTAAGCACATTGCCATTTGGTAGATGTTTAACTGTTTACACCCACAAACATCCTATAGCATGTTTCCCAATAGGGAGAGTGGTAAGCTCCGATGTGTGATTATGTTCTAGTGTAGAAAGTTCCTCCTCCATTGTTTGATGTCACCCTAGAGAGGTAAGAGCTTCCTTGACATTCTTAGGAACAATTACAAAAGACAAAAGGCAGACAAACTAGTGATGGGAAGAAGAAAGGTGAGAAGCAAAGACATAATTAGATGTAGGATGAAGGGTACAAGTGTACAACTATGTTTACCTTTATACAAAGCTATAGAAGGTCAATATTAGAGGTGGCTTTGGTGGGAGGAGAAACTAAAGTAGGAGCAATAGGTGGATTGCCAGTGGAGATGATGTTGGTGGAGAAGCTAGTGTTTGTCTATGAGTATACACTTGTTTGATTGGTGGCCTTTTGGTATTGGTATGCACTTGTGTAGGTGGGAAGTGGGTGATGATAGGAATAGGGTCATCAATAGGAATTGGAAGAGGAAGCATAGGGGGAAAAGTAATATCAAAACTAGTAAAAAAAGGGACTGACTCAAAGAAAGTAATGTCAAGGCACACAATGGACCGTTTGAAGTAGGATTATAGCACTTATACCTCTTTTGTGTCCTAGAGTAGCTAAGAAAAATGCACTTAATAGATCGTGCATCTAACTGTCCACACTAGGGCCCGGATTATGAACAAAACACGTACAACCAACCACTCTTGGATTCAATGGAAAAGCAGACAAAATAGGAAATAGAACAAAAAAAGAACAACCACCAAGAATAGACATAGGCATTCAATTAATAAGGAAGCATGTTGTAAGAACTACGCCAAAATCTCTTGGGAACACTCGTATGATAAAAAAAAGTGATCAAGCAATTTCAAGTAAATGACGATTCTTTCACTCAGCCACCTCGTTTTTTTTTATCAGCAAGGATTTTTATTAATTTAATAACAGATTACAGTACTTTCCCGAGTATAACAAAAATTGAAAGCTCCCATCAAAGAAGGATTGTTAACCCTCTTTTTAATACAGCAAGTTACAATTTTGCCCAATAGAGAGAATGCCTATCAACTCCCTGTTTTGCTAGGGTATCCGCCAATCCATGTGCTGTCCTTTTAGTCCACCCAAAAGTAGACTTGAAACTCTTAGCTAGTTAGTCAATCTCCCTGAAAGCAAATCTATACTTCCATGGTACTGATTTTACTTGCTTTTCCCAAGAGATGACCAAAAGTGAGTCCCCTTCCACCTCTAGCTCTCTAGCTTCTAACTGCACTGCTAATCTCAATCCTTGTAGGAGTGCGAATATCTCTGCCTGAACCAAGTCTGCATACCCAATTGGTCCTGATAACATTGCCATGATTTCTCCATGATGGTTTCTGAATAATCCCCCTATTCCAGCCCTCCCTGGGTTCCCAAAGGAGCTACCATCAAAGTTTAGCTTCAATTTGTTTGGCTCTGGTGGTTTCCAATCCATTTTGATAATTTCTTTATGCAAATCCATTTATGCCACTTCCTTCCATTTCCTTATTATGTCATTTGTATCTTTGAAGAAATATACTGTTTTTACCCAGTGAGCAGATCTGATTTTTATTGTTTCAATTACTTCCTCCTTGGATCTGCTCTTTTCAGTGAAAATCCTTTGGTTTCTTTATTCCCAAATGGTCTAAACTACAGCTGCTCTTGTTATCCTCCATAAACATTTTGCATTTTTTTTCCCTGTTGCCGCAGAAAATTGGAATCAAATAGGCTGACCACATATTGTGGGGGATCCCATAAGCATCCAAAGAGTGAGGAAAAGTAATCCCAAACACAAGACACATAAGAGCAAGAAATTAGTAAATGAGGAAGGGTCTCACCACTAGCCAAACAGAGGATGCAAACATGAGGAGAGAGGCACTTCGTTGGCCTTCTTTTCTGTAGTAAATCACAAGTGTTAATCTTTCCAAGGAACACTTCCCATCCCAACAAAGAGTCTGCACTTTGGGAGGGATTGGCTTACACCAAATTTCTTTCACTGGAAAGTTCTCTCCCGTAGGATCTTAAATGGTTAGGATGTTAAAGAAGGAAGCATAGGAGAATGGACCATCTGGAGAGGGAGACCAAACTCTATTATCCATGGAACTTTGATCCAAGAATAGCTTTTCCAACTTTGATAGCAAAAGAACTAGGGAACCACACTCAATGTCTCTCAAACCTCTTCTAAAACCAAAGTCCTAATTTAAACCAATTTCTGAAATTGAGCCAAACCTGGCCATAGGCTCAACCTTATAGTCTAACAAAGCATAGAGAACAGAGAATTGTTGTTTTAGGGTGAGTCCCCTAGCTAGAGGTCTTCCCAAAATAGGACTTTGTTTCCACACCCCACATCGCAACAGATAAAATTAAGGACGGAAGTACCTCAACAATTGCTTTCTAA